TCTCCGGTCTTCTTCGTCAAGAAGAAGGACGGCGGACTCCGCTTTGTCCAGGACTATCGGGCCCTCAACGCGATGACCGTCAAAAACCGGTACCCCCTTCCGCTGATCAACGACCTCATCAACCGGCTCAAAGGCGCTCATTACTTCACCAAACTCGACGTTCGTTGGGGCTTCAACAACGTCCGGATCAAAGAAGGTGATGAGTGGAAGGCAGCTTTCCGGACTAACCGAGGCCTGTTCGAGCCCTTGGTGATGTACTTCGGCCTGACAAACTCTCCCTGACGTTCCAAACGATGATGAATGACATTTTCCAGGACCTCATCCTTTCCGGAGACGTCATGATCTACCTGGACGACATCCTGATCGCCCATTCCGACCTCCGGAAACACCGACAGATCGTCCAGGAGGTCTTGCGCCGACTCCGAGAGCATAAGTTGTACCTCCGAGCGGAGAAGTGCGACTTCAAAAATCGTCAATCGAATACCTCGGAGTCATCATCTCCCACAACCACGTCGAAATGGACCCCGTCAAGGTCGCAGGCGTCTCCGCCTGGCCGACTCCGGGAAAACAAGAAGGATGTTCAGCAGTTCCTTGGGTTCGCTAATTTCTACCGCAGGTTCATTCGCGACTTCTCGGCCCTCGCGTCCTCTCTTTGCGCCACCAAGAAGGACCAGCAATGGACTTGGGGCGACGCGGAGGCCTCCGCGTTCCAAGCGATCAAGGACGCGGTCACCTCGAACCGGTCCTGGCGATTCCGGACGACGCACGGCCTTTCCGACTCGAGGCGGACAGCTCTGATTATGCGACGGGGGCGGTTCTTTCACAATCCGCCCCGGACGGGAAGTGGCACCCTGTAGCATTCTATTCCAAAAGCTTAAATGATGTCCAGCGCAACTACGAAATCCACGACAAGGAGATGCTCGCGATCATCCGCGCACTCGAGGAGTATAGACACTTCCTCGAGGGCGCCGCACATCCCGTCGAGATTCGGACTGACCATAAGAATTTGGAGTACTTCAGGAAGACGCAGCACCTCAACCGGAGACAGGCCCGCTGGTCCCTCTACCTCTCCCGGTTCGACTTCACGCTGCACCACAAGCCCGGTCGCGACATGGGCCGACCTGACGCCCTCTCTTGGAGACCCGACCACGGAATCGATTCCGACAACTCCGACGTCGTCCTTCTGCGGCCCGAACTCTTCCACGTCCGCGCACTCGAGGGTGTTTCCGTTTCCGGTCCCGGTTCCGAACTTCTTCGCGACATTCGCGATGCCCTCTCCGGTGAGCCTGACCTGGAGGAGCCCGTCGCACTAGCGGCCCGGCAACTCCTAAAGGTCCAAGGTCAAGCTCGAGGCCCCCGCTCCTCACGCTCCGACGAGTGGGCCGTCTCCGGTGGTCTTCTCCACTTTCGTGGGAAGATTGTCGTGCCCAAGGACAAGGACCTCCGGAGGCGCATCATCGAGCTCTGCCATGACACTCGAGTCGCCGGACATGCCGGTCGCTTCAAGACCTTGGAGTTGGTCTCCCGGAACTACTGGTGGCCTCAGATGTCTCGCCATATCGGCCGGTACGTCGCGACCTGCGACTTGTGCTGTCGCACCAAGGCGCTCCGGAGACTGCCCCACGGAGAGCTACACCCGACGGAAACACCCCCGGAGCGCTGGCATACCGTCTCCGTCGACTTCATTGTCGAGCTCCCCGAGGCCCATGGGTACGACGCGATCATGGTCGTCGTGGACACCCTTGGGAAGCGAGCCCACTTCTCCGAGTGCCATACCACGGTCGACGCAGTAGGAGCAGCCCGCCTCTACTACCGGAATGTCTGGCGCCATCACGGGACTCCGGAGAAGTACGTCTCCGACCGTGGCTCACAGTTCATCGCGGACTTCACCCGAGAACTCTGGCGTCTAATCGGCATCAAGCCAGCCACGTCCACCGCGTATCATCCGCAAACGGACGGTCAGACAGAGCGCGTCAACCAGGAGTTGGAGCAGTACCTGCGGATCTTCACCAACTATCAGCAGGACGACTGGGATGAGCTGATTCCGGCCGCGGAGTTCGCTTACAACAACCACGTCCACTCATCCACGCAGCAAGTCCCCTTCATGACGGACACGGGACGGCTTCCGCGATGGGCTTTGAACCCGGAGCCCGTTCCGCTATGGAGTCTGTGAACGAGTTCCGCGACCGAATTGCCACTGGGGTTGCCGAAGCCAAGGCCGCGCTCACTAAGGCCAAGGAAGAGTATAAGCGCTACTACGACCGGAGACGCACTCCGTCTCCGGAGTTCAAGGTTGGCGACCGTGTTTGGCTGGATGCCTCTGACATCAGGACGACTCGCCCCTCGGAGAAGTTCTCCCACCGCCGCCTCGGTCCGTTCAAGATAGTCGCGGAGATCAGCAAAGGTGCCTACAAGCTCGACCTCCCTCCGCGCTACTCGAAGCTCCACCCGGTCTTCCCCGTCGTCAAGCTTGAGCTCGCCCAAGACGACCCCTTCGACGGACGACCCGGCTATGACCAGCCCCTCCGGACCTCGAGGACGGAGTCCCGGAGTGGGAAGTAGAGGAGATCTTGGACGCAAGGGTGAGGTATAAACGGCTGAATTACTTCGTCAGATGGAAAGGCTACGACGCGTCGCACGACCAGTGGGTCCGCTTCGACCGCGTCTTCGCCCCGGACAAAATCGCGGAGTTCTACCGTAAGTACCCTGGCAAACCACGGCACATCGCCTCCGCAACCTTCGACTCGATTCCGTTCCGGTCTATGCGTCGGGGACGCCGCATTCAAAGGGGGGGTGATGTCAGGGGAACCTCCCTTTCGGCCCCTCGAGACGATCCCGATTCCGGTCCGACTCGGTTCCGACTCCGGTGATCGCATCACCGCCTCCTGTCAGGCGCATCGCCGCCCCGCCTGGCGATCCCCCTGGGACCTGGCCTGCGACATGGCGCAGGCATACTGCACGGAGCAACGATCAACCTTGGCGCGTCAAGAGCGCAGTATATAGTTCCGCTACCTAGCAGGCGGACCCTTAGAGTTTCTTCTCTTTGGATCCTCCCCTGCTAGGTCAGCCTCACTTGTATTTGCTTACTTCTATTCACTCTTTGGATCCTCCCCTGCTAGGACCTTGATCTCAGGCCTCCGGGGTTGCCCCTTACAGTCGGAGCCAGCGGTAGTCATAGAACCTTTGACGCAAAACCATATTGCAAAGCCCTCCGACCTCGAGAACGCATACTCACAAGCAACCGCTCGGGAGCTTATTGAGCTCGCAACACAACTCTCCCAAAACCCGCGTGCCATTGATGATCTGCGCAATCTGCGCAATCAAACATCAAGATTGCTGCAGCCGATGTCCGAGTTACTACCGCCTAAAGAGACGATTGGCCCCAATCAGCACAATGACTGGGCGGCTGATGCCAAGAAGATGGGGAGCGCACGAAAACCTCAGCCAAAGCCAAGGGCGGGACCGTCAGATATAGGCGAGAAGAAGACTCGCAAGCGGACACATCTAGATCCCTATGGTGGAGGGGAAAAATCGGGTAAAAAAGCTCGACTCGATGCTCTCACCGTAGCCAGCTCACTGGACATTGGCACCGTCACAACAGCCATCGAACCAATGCCGGAGCCCTCTGACGCAATGCCACTGCCACCCAAAGAAGCACCTCTGCCGCAACTCCCAACACAGAAGCGGGGAACAACGAAGAAGCGTGCAAAGACCGTGAAGCCCAAGCAGAAGCGCAACAAACGTGCGATCCGAACCCCGTCTCCCACAGCTAGCACCTCTGACGACGAGAATACGGTGACGACTACACCTGCAGGCCCGCAGTTTGGCCCTCCAATGCACCCATATGCACCTTATTATGCACCTTACCCGGGGTATACCCCGTTTAATCCCCCAATCCCTACACATTACCCTCCTCCTCCTCTATATTATGGCTATCCACCACCCATGTTCATGCCACCGCCAGGCCCAGGATTTTAATGTAGAATATCTATATTCATGTGTTTTCTGGTTATTTAATACATTTTCATGGTATTTTATTGTGGCAGCGCATCATTCCCGACAGAGGGCGCGAGAAAATGGAGAGTTTCCTTTCTAGGCCGTGAGAAAACTCACGTGACATTGCTAAATTTTTCGCAAGTCACAGTGGGACTGGGCAAGTTAGTAAGTTACAGTCCCACTATTTTGATGAATATCATATAAGTCACTGCAGGAGTTCGGGAATAAACGGTGCCCCTTTCGATCCATTATACACCTAAAATCAGTGTACCAAAAAAAGAAAATTTTTTATACCTCTATTTGCACCCAAAAAAGATTGTTCCAAATTTGCCTGCTTATATGAGAAATAGATGCTATAAACAGACTCAGTTTTGTCCCCCGGTTTGGGGGCAAATTAAACACCCTTTTCTAGACTAGCTTTTGCATCAAAATAGGGACCAAAAAATATGGTCCAGGGCCCTGATATATATCATATAAGTGAATATATGTGAATATTTTTGGTTCATGTTTTGATACAAAAACTGGTCTAGAAAAGGCTGTTTGATCTGCCCCAAAACCAGTTGACAAAACTGAGTCCGTTTATAGTATCTATTTCTCATATAAGCAGGCATATTTGGAACAATTTCTTTTGGGTGCAAATAGAGGTATAAAAAAAATTCTTTTTTTGGTACATTGATTTTAGGTGTATAATGGATCGAAAGGGGCACTGTTTATTCCCAAACTCCCGCAGTGAGTGTTCAATCAGGATTGAAATATTAGCAAGGGGGTAAGGGGAATTATGGTGTTAATATGCACTTATAGTCAGATGTGCTGGCTTTATAGTCAGCCATGTCCTTTCTAACACAACTGTCAAGAAATATGTTGAGTTAATTATTAATGGGACTCGGAAATGGAAAGTCAATGTATTCAAAAGTTGACTAAAAGTCATAATTCTACAAGTATCTGGTTGAACCTCCTGCTTCTTCTTTATCAACCCTCTTCAATAGTTGCATTTCAGACTTGATTCAGGCCAGAAGTGCACGTAATTTCTTGACCACATCTTGGATGATTGTGTCGAGTGATTTGTGAACTGCATCATAGTTGGTTGCATCCAGCCCAGTATGGTCGCTTAGTTTTGTTTCAGAGGACCACCGTTCTTGAGGCAATGGCATAGAGAGCAGGACATCAATGAACTGCACTGCGCAATGTTCATCTGCTTCTCGAAATGTTTGTTTTATATCATGAATAATGCCACGCTTTCCTTTCTGACTCCACAAATTGTCCCGCACAAGCTTCAAGTCATCAATCCCGATATCGCCTTTATCCCATTTGAACCTCGCATAATTTCGCTGCCACTCAGGATCTTCGAGTGGATTCTTGAACGTCTGGGTCAAGGCTTTGAGAAGAACGTAAACCGCCGATTCCAGGTCATCGTGTGGAAGAGGCATATGCTTCCCGTCGAGCATGTAATAGGCCATGGTATCAAGTGTTCCTGTCACTTTCCGCTCCCCAACAGGCCCACTTGGTGGTGGTGAATCCAACTTGAATCTGCGACCAGTCTCCCAGTCGATTAACAATATTCCATCGGCGGTGAGCAGTATATTGCCCATGGATATATCCCGGTGGATTATTTCACGATTGAATACGTCGAATAGAGCCAAAAAGATTTGGACGGCAGCGTTAATTAGGTCGGTCACCGACAGAGATACATCATTGAGCTTGCGAGTATCGGAAGGCGACTCGAAAGCCATTGCCTCAACATGCCGAGGTACGAGAGGTGAAAGAGTAGAGATTTGATTTGCACGACGTTTTCGCCGGGTGCCTAGCGCCAGCGACTCGTCGGATGACTCGGACGGAATGCGCGAACCAACGGCTGCAAACCATCCGACGAGGTTTGGAACATAATTGGGAATACTAGTAGCACAAAGAGCGTCGAGAACCATTTTCTCCCTCCATGCACGAGGCTCCGGAATGAAAGTCACCTTGACAACCCAAATCTTGGTGGAGACTCTATGTTTTCCTTCCAGAACAAGTGTTGAACGTCCGAAAGGTACGCTTCGCAGGGGAGAGAGAGTTTTGCCCGTTAGCTCAATCGGATCACAGTCAGGAAGATGCGCAACACCGGGCACGGCATCGCCGTTCAAGAAACCGAAGTCGGATTTCGTAAACTTGTAGGAAAAAATCGGATTGAAACCGAGTTCGTACAGTGACGCCTGTTGAAAGAGAGCCAAAATGGCAGAAACAGTGGGGAGATTGGTCCCAAGACAGTTCTCGACGACCGTGAACTCGAGACGGTCCTGGTTCAGAATGGAGACAAATAGCTTTGCTTTCTCGCCTTTGCCATGGAATGACAGGGTGGGGATGTAGAGTCGAGTGCCTTGCATCGACAACAAATCCACGGCATTCGTGATTGCCTGTTGATATTTGCCTATTTCAACTGAAGTGCCGATCAGAGGGTTGTGTGTGTAGGACGGGGGATCGAATGATGTGTACTCAATGTTCACGAGGACATTGAAGATCGTCATGGAGTCGGCGGCGCTAGGACGAAGCGCTGCATCGTATTTGCGCTGTTTCTCGTAGCCTCGTTGCGGTGGCAAGTAGTCCCCTGGGCCTGGTACGAACTCCATCACTTCTGACTGGGACCGTAAAGGCTCTGGAAGGGCAATCTGTATACCATTAGCCAAGATCTAAAACCGAGACAAGCAGCAAGGCATACTCTAGCCAAAGCAGATAACCAATAACGATTGTTTATGTATATCTCAGGTGGTCGTGTTCCTGAAGAATTCGCACACTGATTGTTCTGGGATTCCGCCTTGAACCCTCCCAATACGCTGTCTCTCAGGTGCTTTTCGCGTTTAGGCCCCAGATCTTGCAGTGTTCTCGAAGCACTACCCTTGAGAGCGTTAAATTTGGTCGAAAACGCAGTCCCACCCAGTTTCTCCAGGATAGCAGTAAGACTGGATGAAGTGACATGGTTATCGAAGTGTTTGCGACAGTATTCTTCGTTGTGTTTTCTCTCTGCGCTCATCTGCTCGGTGGTCATGCTGCCGTGAAATTCTGTGCTCGCAAAAGTCGGAAGCGTGCGTGGATAGATTTCATCTGGGTCGAGTTTCAAAAGCTGGGACTGGTCAACAGCGAGTGGCATGGTGAACACGTCCAAGTTGTTGTTCCTCGGCAAAGGTCGCGACTAAAACAGCTATGATTAGACCTTTAGTTCCGTTGATATCATTTGCTTACTGTCAAGGCGCCTAAGAATTCCAGGCGTTCATCCGCCGTTCGCCGTTCATAGTCCTCCAGAGCTTGCATCCTCGACGACTGATGACAGCTTCTGGTCACGCATGTCACGCAAAGAGACCTACATTGTAAACTCGCAATTTAAGTTATATCTTGGTCTGTTCTGTTCGGACGAAAGTATTCACATGAATCCGGAGCATTTTGCACAAAGAAATTGTCACACAAAAAATACCCTTCCCATTCGGCGCATCGCCTCCCACTCCTTCACCCCGCGCGAGAAATGCATCCACACCAGATTCTCATCCTCCATCACCACGTAATGCGTCCACCTTAGCACTGGCAGCGGGATATCGGTGAGCATCCCGACCATGACGAACTCAACGCGCGTTGGCTCCTCCGCTTTGCAGGCCGGAGATGCGGCGCCGGAAAAGTCCATCTGTGCAAACGACGACTGGCGCCAATCTGATTGGACGGCCCAGAAGCCGCCAGGATAACAGGGAAACTCAGCCGCGAGTGGATTACGCAACCGCCAGGTCACGTTGGACGCGATGAGAGTGGGATCGGAAGTATACTCTATGTTGGCCCGGCGAATACCCAGGGCAAGTTGACCAAGGGAGGAGGAGCGCAGCTCTGCGAAGCTGAATGGGGGAACATAGACCCGCGTGGTCGCGTTGTTGATGTATGGAGTTGAAAGTGGCTTCCCATCGTCAAAGATAGGTCGCTTTCGAATATCCAGAATGAATTCCGGGTAGAGCATGGCCGTATCGGAGACCAGCTGGCTGGCGTATATTTCCTGTCAAACGTTTTATCATCGCGGTCAGAAGAACGCACACAAACTTACTTTCAGCCACCATGCATAGAGGAGGTCGTGGCTGCCAACGAATTCTGTGGAGCCCTGGGCCCTCAATTCATCCATGGCTTCCTTTTTTTTCTCAGCCAAAAACACCTTTGGTATGCCCACATATCTCGGCTCGTCAGTGCGATCGAAAAGTATGCGATAGATCATCCGTAAGACGAGCGATATTGCCTGGATGAGCGACAACGCGTTGGCAAAAGCCACGCTATGGGTATTTCCTTTCTCGGGTGGAAGAGAGACGAGTTTCAAATCTTCGTTCCAGGGCTGTCCTTGGATGTTGTCAATACTCTCTCCATTGAGCACCCTGGTCCAGGCCTCGACAATGGTGCTGGTCCCAGCGCCATCAATCAACACATGGGCAGCGCTGACGCCTATGAACGTCACATCGTCAAACACCGAAGCATGGACATGCAAGAGCGGTATGCCCGTGTTCACAAACTTCTTCGGGCTACGAGGAAATGTTGGGGCAAGGAACAAGTCGTCGAATTCGGGTGGAGTGGGTCGACAAATGAATGGTTTGGTTTGGAGATGCGCGGACCGGAGGTGATCGATGGGCGGACGGTTGGGGTTGGAATTATAAGTCTCCTCGTAGTTAGTAGTCGTGAATGAACAGGCTCTTTTGTCGGCATTGAACTTCTTGGGGATAAAGAATTCATGCACCTGGAACAGTGTAAATGGAAATTGGTTTGGTGCAGAATTTCTTTGACGCACATCACCCCTCTTAACCCAACGAGCTCCAGCACGCGGAAATTTGGCTTCGACAACAGATTGCAGAGTGTCTTCAAGTTTCTTTGCGTCGAGCCTCTTGTTGACCACAAAACCGGTGGTGAGCACGTAGTCACGCATCGCCACATCCATGCCTGTGCACGGAACAACGTGCCAGTCTTCAACAGAGGACGACGGGAAAAAATTCGTCGTGAACATGCGGGGGAGAATGGCCTTGGACACTGGCCGGGAGCCGAGTTTTTATGTGAATGGCTCATCAACGTTTCCCGGCGAAGGTCGCAACACTGTGGATTGTTTAATTTGTTAAGGTCAACAACGGCGCCGGAGCACCATCAAAAACTTACCCCTAATTGACCCTGATTTCGCGCAGAGTTTACAAGTTACAGTGTTGAACAACGTCTCGCGCAGCTATCATGCGGTTCTGTGGAGTCGTAGACCAGCAACTTGAAGAGCCAACAAGCCTGGGCCCTTTAAATTGTTCCAATGATGCCACCATCGTCCAGTCCATTCAGCGTCAACTTGCAATGCCAGTGAATCCATCTTATCATTCAAGAGCTCTGGTTTTCCGAGAGGAAAAGTAGCGTCTAGTTGTCCAACTCGATGAGCCCGATAGAGTCTAGGGAAGTATGAGGAGGAGGAGGAGGAGAGTTTTTGCTAGCTTGTATGGGACGCACTGGTTCGGCAAGGCGGTTGGATTATAGCTCATATCTGCTGTCAAAGCAGTCTGTCCGGCTCTGAGTTGGGCAGCGGGAATTTTTCAACGAACACAAACAGTGACAACACCAGAGCACCGCGCTGTTTTGTTGGGGTCTCAGTTGCGTCCCATTGAATATTCCCAGCACGAGTCGACAGTGCTAAGTTGGTGTGTCTGCGCCTACGTTGCGCCCACGTCGTGTAAAGAAAGGAGGGAGGCTTGAAAGAAGTTCCGCTCCATGTTTTCTGTCAATTTGCAAAAAGAAGCGGTTTCAGCTGAACGTGATCGTGAGAAAGGACTTGCCATCATGATGTGCTACCACACCTTGAGAGAAAACGCCACCCAAAAAATGGACTCGACAAAGCGACAATGAGCGATTCGCGCCGGAGGGCTCAGCCTCGTGTCGGACCGAGGCAATTGCCCAATAGCCGATGTGACGGGGATGCCTCTGGGCGATGCGATGACCGCCGAAACGACATGGCCGCTCAGATTAAATGCCGTATCCAGGCCTCGTGTAGGATGCTTGAGCTTCAGCCACTCGCGCGAAATGCCTATTCTTCTTGTCTTCCTTACCCATATCCTCTACTCTCCAAAGCGATTTGGATGCTCCGCTACCAATCTCTTGCTCGTTCCCTGCGGTACCTTCAAGGTTTCGCCGTCTTCAACCCAAAATCACGTTAACTGTCGTTTCGTACGGCACGACGCATTTCTCGACCTCCATCGAGACAACAGCGCGGCAGCGCCCTAGATTTTCATTATAAAACCCTGGTTGGTCCTTCCGCCCCTCCCCGTTATTATTTCACGACATGCCTGACTGGTCCTCAAATGCAGAGATTCTCAAAGATAGCGGTATCTTTGTGAAGCTTCAGCATGCTCTACTGGGCCTCTATGCGTGCGTAGCCGCGGTTTTTTCCGTGGTTTGAAACTGACCTGGTCTAGTTGGGAGTGGTTCATTTCACTACCCTTCGATTGGGAGGTTATCACTGGGCGAAAAAGATTCCGATGGCCTCTGGTATGTGTGTAAAAACCTTGAATGTTTTACCCCATCTGAACTCGCCACCAGATATTCTACTTCGCGAATAGGTACCTCTTACTCGGTGCCCTGATTGGAATGTGTGTTTGATCCTTCCAACGCGGCCTTGGATCTACTCACACTATCCAGAGCCATTGGGTTCGATACCTTCGAGTAAGCGGGTGGCCTCAGACCATGCTCATCCTCTGAACGTGCTGGTTTGCAGAGAAATCAATTGCCAGTCATTATATACGTTCAACCAACTGGCCGGAGATGCTGCTGTTGGTTTTGCGAGTATCAACCTATCGCTACGGACCATTGCGATCTGGTCGCAGAACACTTATATCAAGGTCTTCCTGGTCGTGATCATCTTAGGCCACTGGAGCCTGATTCTTCAAGGTGGGGGGCGAATTGCAGTCAATATAAACCTCTGATCATTATTTCAGGTGTTCTTCTTGATGCGCAATGGTCCAACGAGCTCGGTACTTGTGTGATAAAAGACACCAACACGACCATCTTGGCAGCGACATTCACATACTCGATGGTTTTCGACCTGATTGTTTTCTGCCTCAACGCGTACAAGCTCGGTGTCCGACGACGCGGCAAGAGCAAGCTGACTAAAATGATTTTCAAGGACGGCTTACTTTTTTTCTTCATCGCGTTCGTTTCCGGCCCTGCGCTATGAGCTCGTGCTGATCTTGGATAGTTTCCTAGCCAACCTAATCGCGACAATCTTCATGTTCCTCAAGCTCAACCCCGTTATGAGTGTGGTCTTTAATGTTCCCGCCGCCATTGCATCCACCGTAAGCGCCGCTCGCAACAGTTTCTCAAGTTAACGACCGATGGAAAGATCGTTGCCACCCGCGCTGTGCGCCGCCTAACGAACTTCACTAGTCACGGCCCAGAGATGTAGTAAGTGCATTGGTCGTGGGATACTGCGCATTCGAATGGTGCTTACACATTCCAGTCAGCCTTCTGCTTCAAGTAGTGGCGCTGTAAGAAGCTACAGCGGTGCGCGGGGCCTGACACATACCGGTCGAGGAGGTTACAAGGGACAGCAAGGAGTGCATGTTCAGGTGGGTTGCCAATCCTCCTCAAAATTAGGAATCGATAAGATGGATACTGGTAGATGGAAACCTTTGTACGCGCAGAAGAAGGCTTCGGCAGTCCTACCAGCGAAAGCCCGATCGCTCTCAAACGACAAGCCGAACAGGGGAGCGTGGAGTACGATCTCGAGACGAAGGCGCCTGGGGCTTTCTGAGTTTTACGAAATTCACGACAAAAGATTCCAACCTCCAATTATTAATCGAATATTGGCTGTTGAGTCACAATACCCTAGAACCGGAAAACGGAACACTCTTTAACATTTGTAGAATATTATACATGTGGAATAACGAAGACAATAGTCTCCAGTAGAAACAAACACTCGTCCCGTAACTTTGAAACTCCTCGCCGTTGCAGAGTCAAAGGTCGATAGGCATGTAGCCGATTTTGATGATGTGGCATTTGCTTCGCTCGAAGAAATATGAATGTAGATCTTATCTAATCTTAACATTGGCAATCATACAACCCGCAACATCGGGTTCAAGTTTGGATACACAGAGCTAAGCTACATGAGAACCATCTTCCATTCCCCTCCCCGCTCTTGCACTCAAGCACAAGCGGCAGCAGCATTCCCCGCCTTCCTGGCAAGCGACACGAGTTTGAAGTCGTCGCCGCTGACCAACCCATTCTGCGCCTGTTCGGGGTCAATGAGGCTCCGTGCGGTGGTTTGGATGAAGTCAAGCTTCGTCTTGGCGGTCGCAAAGTCATTCGCAATCACAGCCGTGTTCGCATCGTCGACGGCCAGAACAAGGGTGTCGAAGGTCGCTGCTTTGGCTGCAGTTGCGCGGTCTCTGTTGAGGAGTCAACACAATATTGAGGACAGAGGAACGCCATACGGGTCGGGAGCAACAAGACCGACGTTCAGGATGAAGTTGGCAGTCTCGGAAAGCGAGCTGACGAGGTCTTTCAACTCATCCAAGTCACAATTTGCCTGGCGGTTACTGAAGGAGAGCTTGATTTTCTTCGGGGCGGAAGTCTTTGCTTTAGCCTTAGGGGGTTGGGCCGCGACTGGGGCCGCTGCCGCCGCTTGTCCAGGCGCGACACAGAGTGCTGCTGCTTCTGATGCGTCTTTCGCCAGATTACGGAGATCAAAGTCGTCTCCACTGACCAGCCCGTTTTGCGCGGCTTCAGGATCGATAAGACTACTCGCGGTGTCGCGGACAAAGTCCAGTTTCGTCTTGGCGGTGGCGAAATCGCCGCCTGCTGCAGCCGTCGTTGCATCGCCGACAGCGGCAACAAGCGTGTCAAAGGTCGCGGCCTTGGCTGGCGTGTTGCGGTCTCTGCTTGCACGTCAGTCGGAGAAGAGGTATACAGCGGAATGACCCACGGGTCGGGCGCAACAAGGCCGACATTGAGGATAAAGTTAGCTGTCTCAGAGACCTCTCCGATGAGCTTGGTAACAGCAGCCTGATCGCATGCTGCCTGACGAGTGACCTGTTGTCGAACAACAGGAGCTGCAGACAATCAGGACGCGTACTAGTAGTCAAACTAGACAAGTAAAATGGCCCACCAGCTAGAGAACCAGACGCAATCAAAGCGGCGAAAAGAAGACTAGCTTTGCTGAACATAGCGAAGAAAAATGCAAGAGGAGTTGGAAGAGGAAGAAGCTAGCTGAGGGCGAAACAAACTGACACCAGGTAAAGAATCAGGCTGAAGGTCGCTTCAAATTTATACTGGCCGCCTTGGACCCGAGTGGCCGGATTCGCGTTCACACGTGGAAAACGTTGAATAGTAGCTAGCGTCGATCTGGCAGCAAGCTAATGGGGACAACCATCGTCTTCGTCGTCGTCTGTTGCTTGATTGCAGCCGAGAACTTGAAGTCAAAGGAAAGCATCGAGTACGAGTATTTTGCATTTGGGATGGCTAAGCAGCTTGGACTTGCGGTTGCACAAATCGAAACCTGGCCTCGGCCCAACATGGAGTGGAAGAGAGAGTAGCTGGTATTAAAACTTCGCCGCCTGGGCTGGCTGGACTGTGATTTCCAGGTACGTGGTGATGACTTTCAGGATACTTCGAATTCTGCAGATTGTCGTCGTCGCAGATTGTCGTCGTTACTGGTCGGCCGTTGGCAATGACGATAGTATCAAGGAAATTGAAATTATTGAATGCGGGACTCCATGTCACGGTGACACTCGACCAGCAACGACCATGCATGATGCTAATTTTAGGTTTCGCACGTCTCATGCAATAAGCACAATGAGAATGCCTCCCAGCCGATGTACCACATTGACTGAGTACTTGGTTTAGTGCACTACTCGGGTACATAGGTTTCCAGTCTAATACAGTATAGTAATAATCCTTCAAAGTTTGCCCCGTAACAGTTGCCACAATGACACTTGGTTCCAGTTTTGCTCCTGCTCGACCAAACCATCTTTTCGCTCTGCTGCCCATGCCTCAAGCGAGTGCATCTCTGGACAAGCCTCCCTAGCTGCTTGGGCTTGCGCGATGACTTCAGGACATAATCCATTTTCTCGGGCATTGTGCATTCGTTCAAGATCCGCAAGCCTCGCTGAAGTTGAAGCAAAGACGTTCAGCATGGAGGAGTAAGGCTTACAGTTCTTGGGTGTGTACGTTCATCCAAATGATTGCGCTTGCGAGGATTACCGGAATCGTAGGCATTGCTCTTCCTGTTGCTCGCTTGTATTGCGCTTCTTGTTCACTCATCGTCAGAACTTGAGCGGGATGAGTAAGGGTTGGCAGGGTTGGGAAATCTTCTGACCTTGGTCAGAGATGGTTAGTATCTTGGCTTGATAATGCGAAGGGTTCTGCAAAGAATCAGAAATCGGCGACAAGTTCACCAAGTCGTAGATACACAGAACACGGCTGCAGCAACCCGGCCAATATCGTCCACTGCCTCGTACAAATCTGAGTTTTAGTTCAAAACGACACAGAAAGCACACGCACCACAATTCTATTTGTGGTGCCGGGCTTTAAGCCCGCCTTCAATACGCCGACTGTGATGGCCCCCAGCCAGCCGTCGTAGTTTTCCATGAAAAAGCCTGGACGAAGTAGCCTGATGTAGCGATGTGAAGCATATGTGGCATTTGTAAAGGAGCGATAACTTACGTCCAAGGCAAACCCTTCGTCCCAAGCTCCTTGACGTGTCGTTCAATTCGGACTTTTGCAACACGATCGAGCGTTTTCATGTCATCGTCGAAGTATTCGCCGCCCCGCTCGCTGGTGGACAAGATGAACGATGATACACCGAATTCAAAGGCAAGGTCGGCAAGTAGCTGGGTATGGTAAGAGTCACATAGTCAATAAGGCGGGTTGGTAGCACCTTTCCCTGCCTCTCTTCTGCGTCTGCATTGGCACCTAGGCCGGGGAATGCAAGCACACAGAATACTCCCCAGATCCCGTCTTCTTGTTTCGCATCTTCAAAAACCTTGCGAATGGTGGTTGGCGCATCGAGATCGCCTTCTACCACCTTAACCCGGTCGCCGTACGCGGTCGATAAGCGTTGGGCTGCAGAAGACGACACCGTTCTAGTAAGAGCAAAAATGCGAAACTCTGGTGGTCCATCTAGCCCCACGAGTGCTCGAATGAGAGCACGACCTTGATGTCCTGTTGCACCAGCGACGAGTATAGTTTTCGTCATCGCGCTGCGGGATGAAGGAGGGTTTCAATGTCCATTCACTGTCAGGCAGATCGGTGGTTGAGCGTGAGATTCTACAGATCGCTACAAAACTTGGTGCAAGAAAGCGGTGGTTCTATATCTCGAACTCAAGTCTCAATGGCACGGGTCGCATACAGTATGTACTTATACCAAATTCCGCGGATTGAAAATTATTGTTATCATCCAAGAATTATCGGGCTCGGGACACTAGTTTCCAAACGCGCAGTCCCAGGCTATTTTTCTTCCTCCTCTCTTCGCCTTTCTTCTTAGCACGGAGAGCGCGGACAAGATTGATCACAGTCGCATCCACTTCAAGCCCGGTCTTTGCAGACGTTTCGGTAAACGAGCAACCAAGCTCTTTGGCGAGCGCAACGCCGTCCTGATGGGGAACTTCGTGGTCTTGGGCAGGCCGGTCTATCTGGTTGGCAGCGAGTACGATGACAGGCTCGCGTGAGCTTGTTGCGCGGCGAATCTCTCGTAGGAATGCCACAGTGTCTTGAAAAGAATATGGCGAAGTAACATTGTACATCAGAATGAAGGCATCCGAGGTTCTAAGGGAGATGAAGCCAGTGAAGACATAAAATGATTGCTGGCGCACCGTAATAATGCTTCATGTTCGTCCTCCGTCTCAGCTAAGCAACTTTTCTAGTCCCAATAAATACATCTTATAGAATACTCACACTCCAGCTGGTATATATCCAGCAACGTAACGATAGTGGCTTGGTCGTCCACCGTGAGCTTCCGCGAGAAGGCTTGTTTCACTCCCAAAGGTTCGAGCTCATCCTGTGGAAAAAGTTTGAGATGTACAATTTGCGGTCATGCACCACCACCAACTAAACAAGAATAAGTCGGGTATCAGAACTCAGTCTGAACGCACCTTCGACATCGTCAAGAACAAACTGTACAGTAGTTTAGTGTTTATGTTCCAGGAACGCGAGTAAGAGTCTGACTGCAGAGATGAATCGTGTTTTGCCCACACCAAGGGCTCCGACAACGGCAATCGACCAAGCGTCAGGATCGGGAGCAGTGGTGGTCATGAGAGTTGTGGAGGATTCTCCCGGCATGACAGGGAGGAAGATTATGAAGGAACAGCGGCGTGGCAGCCACAAGTGAAGAAACCCAAATGGATAGGCGCCGGCCCCGGAATAATCATTGGACCAGTGCGATTGACGGAGACTGTTGCTTCACGCTAAGTCGACTCTTCGAGATACAGTATATGCATTCTTCGCGCGGCAGAGGTGCCAACTTTCAGGTCGGAGGGATGCTGGGGGATGGGGATCGGAAGCAAAATGGTCAACCCTGGGGTAAGTAAAAGTTTTTTTCTGGGTTGGTGTGACGAATGTGTCACACACCTGGCGGCTTGGCTTTTGACAGTGACGAAGACGCATCTATCAGTTGGGTTCCACGTCTAAGCAAACTTTGAGAAGGTACGGGCTTGGGAAACTCTGGCTTTCTTTCAGAGCACTCACCAACCGACTCAGACTGTTGCTTTTCAATTCAAGTCCTGAAGACTCCAACTTGACAACGTTCATTCGTTGAATCGGTGCGTCACCATTCGCTTGCACCACCCATGCTGAATGACAAGTAGCAGAGCAGCGACGATGTCGGAAACACCGAGAAGTCCTGCTCCAAGTATCAAGAGCGTTCACACCAAAGCAGGGAGCCATCAACTTCACGGGTCCGATGCCGACGCGCAAGAAATGCTCATTGCAACACTACGGTCTCAGATCCAAGACCTCTTTTCGCAAGTAACTCAACTCAACTCCAAGCTAGTCAAATCCTACGACCGCGTTTCCGACCTTGAAGACGACCTCCACGTTGCCGCTGCCCAAGGGCGACAGTCAACGCTGAAAATTTCACAACTGGAGCTCGAACGAACTCAGCATCTTTCTGCACTCAACACTGGGCTTTTGGTCGAGAAGTCGCAGGTCACAGCCGAGCTTACTCGGTTAATGGAGAAAGCGACCGAAGAGGCCGCTCAAAGAGGACAAGCGGAAACGGCCAAAGCAGACATTGAGAAGGATCTCGACGATCTCAGCGCGACTTTATTCGCTCAGGCGAATACTATGGTGGCCGAAGCTCGGTATGCCCAGTCACAAGCAGACCGACGCGTCGAGCAGGCTGAAACTGCACTGAAAGGAGCGGAGGAGATGGTTGGCATGATGCAACAACAAATGCAAACGTTACAAACGGAGAAAGATGATGCCGAGAAGAAAGCTCAAGATATGCGGGTCATTATGGGCAAGGGCAAATGGGTGGATCGTCGCAGTGGCAGCAGCGGTAGTTTGGCCAAAGAGACGCGACTTTTGAGCTCACATCTTCCCTATGAAGAGTTTTTACTCTTCGTTGCCCACTTGCGATCTGTCCATCCTTCCTCGCCAACACCACCCGCCATGACAACATTGTTAACCATGCCTTTTCTTGCTCGGCTTTCTTCTGAGGACTCGTATGTGTTGCGTTGAATATATGCCTCTTTGCTAATAACTGTCTCAGCGAACCAACTGTGAGACTGGACTTGGCTCCTTCTCTCAATTGGTTGTCTCGGCGTTCTGTCCTGGCGGCAATACATACAGGACAACTGACGATTGAGCCTATGTCATCAAGCGCTCTTTTGGCGGAATCGTCCACTTCTTCCAACATTCCTGGCCTCAACAGCAGCAATAACAATATTTCCTGTGCTCTCTGTGGAACACCAATATTTTCATTACCGGAACCGAGCATGCCATCTCGACCACCAACACATCCCTCTCTCAGTGGCGCTAATACGTGGTCAGCTTCTGTAATCAAGAAGACATTGTCCGGCTCACCGACTCCCCCTGCCCGTTCGATGTCGCGGCCAAATTCACAATCTGTTCAACCTTCCCCTGCCCAAATCCACGTTTTCCGAATCGCGGCTCCGTTACCACCGGCTCAACCCACTATACCGCCGACCCGCACCGCGAGTCCGTCACCATTTCTCCCCAATGTCGGCGGATCACGTAATGCTACTCCGAATTCACCTCCCCAGGCATCGACAGGGCTCGGTAACCCTCTCAGTGCACTCGCACAGTCCCAATCATCGCCCGTTTACCCTCTATGCACCTCGGGTTGGTGTCTTGGCCGTTTGCGCTCAACCTGCACACTTTGGGCATTTGTGCGGACAGACATTGTCAATCGGGTCTGGGAAGAAGAAGTCCCCACAATTCCCCAGCCTCCCACCAACGGGACTGCTCAAGCGCCCCCGCCAGTTCCCCCTCGGAGACGTGGATTATGGGGCATGGCAAGCAAGTTGGGGGAGCGGGCGGCGAGCTGGAGTGCTGATGCGAAAGAGAAAAAAAGCGATCCGGTCCCTCCACCAATGAATTCGGCATCTCCCAAGCCTGCTACGACTGCCCCACCACTTCCCAGAAGGAACGAAGGTCGAACGCGGAGAGGCACGGTGTCTCTGGGCTCTGGCGGGCCACCTACGTTGCCTCCTCGAGATGTCCCACCAGCAGTCGTCGAAGAACCCAAGGGTGAAGAACCAAAGGCTACCGCAACAATCATCGAAGAGGAGACGACTCCTGTTACGGTCGAGTCGGAAACAAAAGCAGAAGCCCCAGCGATCAGTGCTCTCAAGACTGAGGCAGTCCAAAAACGTCTCTCAGCTCATCAAGTGCCTTTACCAGATTCTCGACCAGGAACTCCAATCGATACAACCGCTGTTGGTGCCCCACCACCAATTCCAAGAAGAGCGGCAGGACGTCGACCAGTTCCGCCTCCGCCGGGAACTGTTAATGGAGATGTTACACCCAGAGCTGAGAGTCCAGCACCAGCCCCGACGGCAACATCGCCGCCCGCATCGCCACCTTCACCAGTAATGCTGACCGCTCCGTCAACTCCGAAAGAAGAAGCGCCTGCTCCAGTACTCACGCTGGGAGAGACACCCGAACAGGCCAAAGTTGATGATGTTGTACCACAAACTGAGAACACGGCCGTTGAAGGGTCTTTGCAGGAGAACAACAAACCGAGTGCCGAGATTCCACGCGTTGATTCTCCAACCAATGTGCCAGAGGTGCCTCCCAAGGCAGAAGGCAATGGACACGTCCAGGAAGAGCCCAAAGCCGAGGAAGAGCAGCACGCTGTGGACGGGGATGGGGAGGTCTATATCGGCGACGTCACGTGGGAGGAGCGCACGTGGAAAGAGCTGATCCGGCTGAGGGAAGATATGTTCTGGGCCCGCGTTGGCGGGATTCGTGGGTGAAAGGAATGAACGAAGCATATATCACGACTTGACGAACTTGGTTATCATCTACTCTATACGGCTGGTTAGATAACGTTAACATTATTGCTATTGCACGATACCTATTCAACAGGAATTATGGATCACTTGAAAGAAACACAAAGGACACAGCAGTGGCCTTGGTTCTACCGCAGCCAGTCAATGGCCCATCACGCATTTTCAACGTTCTCCGCTAACACTGGTTTGCTGCCAAATCACCCTGGGCACTGAGTATACACGTATATTCAAGTTTATAGATCATTGGGAGAGCTGCACAATCTTGGTACCGGTTCATCAGATAGGTATTCAGCGAGTCAAGGTTCAAATCGAAATATGTCCAGATATGGGCTGTTGTTTCGTGTCTTGTTGTCCCAATGCTTCCACTTTAAAAAGCGATCAGCGTTGAATCTCAGCCCACGCAAGAGCGACGTACACGAATACCGACGACACTATCTTCCGTCATCAGCACTTGGTCGAACCGGTACTTGTCCTCAGACAATGTCCGGACAAATCCCAGGTCAGACAATATGGGCACTGAAAACGGCAGCGAAGAAGGCTCTGGACGTGCTGAGCCGCCATTTCGGCTCGAGTGTTTGGTGTTGGAGGAATCAGAGCCGGGTTTCAGGCTGCTGGTAAGAGGGGGCTCTATCCAGATGCGGTCGTGGTTGGCGGAGATTTGTCTAGCCTTGTCGATGTTGCGAACGTTGAAGTCTAGGATGCGGAGTGACGAGTGACGGTCCCTTTTGTCGCCGGCGTCTTTATCAAGCAGAACTACGCGCTCTCCCATTACACTCCACTCGACGCATCCACTCGAGCGCTGAGGATCGAGCCAGCGGGAACATTTATGACCCCAGTTGGCCCATGCTACACTCTTAGCGGATGAGTGATGTGCAAGTCGGAACTGGCGCAGGAGTCGGCGCGAGATGACAAGAGCAAAAAGCGGCGCATCGACAGCCTTGTCAATCGGTCCGATTTCCATTAGGACGAGGATCAAGCCTTCTGTAAGCATGGGCACGAAATAGCAATGGGGAGGAACAGAGAGCGGTGCCGAACTGGTCGGCTGCGCATTCATTTGAACACTTTCCGGTACAATAGCATACCCCGCGCGAAGTTCGGGGAGTTTGAACGAGACTTTGACAAGGTTGTTCAAGTCGGCTGGCCAACTGCCATTGTCAGAATCTGAGTTTGGAAGCCAGATAATGTCTAAACTGCCCAGATCGGCATTGAATGTCATGAGCTGTTTTGAGCTAATGAAAGTGACTTTTGGGCCTCCAATGCGGCCAGGACCCTGCCAAATGCATTTTAAGAACGATTACAAATTCATAATGGGCTATCCTCACACAAAGATGAGTTCCAAGCTTCCAGTCGTACAGCGTCAACCCAAAATCGTTGCGGTCTTGATAATAAAACGAGATGGCAAGAATATTATCACAAACAAACAGAGAGATAGCACCCGAGATAGGAGCAAGTTCATCCGACGGCAGTTGAACGAAGAATGTATCGTGGGTTGCGAGGGCGTGACCTTTTTGGCCTGATGTGTAAGTCCAACATTGCACTTGGAACTGGCATTCAGGATCCTTAGAGAGATTTCTGTTCACGGTCACAGGTTATCAAGGGGGAAACGTAGGCCGACAAACCGATTAAGCACGAGCAACAGGTCGTATTGGGCTATTTGTACCGCAAAATCGAGCATTGATTCCCCAAGATTAATAGTTTGAGGTTTGTAGTCCATCGTCTTGAATGTGGATAGCTGCAGGGCGTGAAGCTGAGTTATAGGTCGTTCACAGTCTGATCGAGAAGTTGCGAGAAAAAGATCTGGCCCAATCGAAAAAAAATCGCCGAAACTTTCTTCTGCAGATAAATTGAGTCGATGACGGGAGTGGGGCATGAGCTCCATGAAGTTTTTTTGACGACGAGAAAACTTCGCATATACCTCCTCACGGGTCAAAGACGCTGTCCTCGGTTTGTTTTCAATCATATTCGCATCTTGGATTACTTGTTCCGATACCGGTTCTGATATGGGCTCAGATGCTAAAAGACGAGTAACGTTCATGAACTTGGATACGGAAATGTCGGATGGCACCCACAAGGTGTTGCCAGTGGACCACGGGCGGGGGAGTCGAAGCTGGGCGCCGCTGATTTGGGTTGGGCCGGTTGGCCTTGGGGTATGGTTGTCGCATTTTCTGTCTTTGGCGAAGGCGATTGGACCTTTTGTGTATGGCCTTCTAATCGTGGCCTTTTGGTGGGTGGCGGTGAACTACTGAGAGGTGGACGTTCATGTTCAAGTTGATCGTCTAGGACATTTATCGTCAACAGTTTGGAGGACTCGTGGGGAGAGCTACTCAATTGAGACGCCTCATCCTGGTTCTGTTGCTCTTGGGGTACGACCTTGTGTGTGCCAGAGAAAAGCTGGTTTACGCTCTCCTGAAGTTGGCGACGGGTTTCGTCAACGGCGGTTAATTGCGATCGCAAGTCTCGTATTTCCTTGTCAGCTTGATTTAATCTGACCTCCCGACCTTCTAACAACGCTTTATAGACAGAGAGTTCAGCTCGTAACTGCTGGACATCTCGCTCTGCTGCAACACGGCGTTGTCGCTCACTAGCTGTTGATCTCTGGGCATCGGTGAGTCGCTCATGGATAGACTTGAACTCTGCTTTGGCTAGTGTGGCCACCGAGTTTGTGATTTTGCGAGTAAAAGCATCTGTAAAGACTGCGACATCGTCATCGTCAACAACAACTGAGGCCATGCGTTCGTCACACAGTCACAGTAACCATAACCACGTGCATGGTTTGCCCTTACCAGTGTGAGATCACACCAAGATCGCACCAAGTATCAGCACCATGAGCAATAGCCTGAGGCAAGGGCCTAGTGTTCCAACTAATTGTCCTTTTGACAGGCTGAGGCTTTTGTTCTTTCATCGAAGCATCCGAGTCGGCCCACCGATACCCGGGCCGTCGATCGCGAGCAGACAGTAAAGCAAACGCTGGCAAGGTCTCTGCTTGAACCATCCCTAGCGCAGCTCTTTGCCTCTTAATAGTGAATTTTTGACCGGCATAAGATTTTGCGGTCTGTACTAATTACAACTCTAATGTTTGTGTCGGACGCTGGAAAGAACTTAAATCCACAACCAAGTTCAATCCCCCGATCCAACCCAAAAGCTTGACCCAGCAGCCAGGGGGCACCTGGCAGATTAATCCAAGAAGTTGAAGATCAAAAGTAAGGGAATAGATATCTTACAAGTTGTACTTTTTGGTTGACTTGCACAAGGATTCAGAAACAGATTCGCCGCAGCTCGGTATCCCGAGTTCTGCATCAATTTGGTCTGTCCAGGATATCCTGACAGCTCCGGTAGGTTGATGGTCGAAGATGTTCCTAATGAAACAGCAGGAGACGACGGTGAAAAAATATGTGAGACGCTGTAGGACGGGACGCTGGCGACTACCGCAGCGCCGCTCTCTCTGTGATCCGTTCACATTGTTGTTGCAACTTGTTAATGCGGAAGTAGAACAGAATTCTAAATTTCTTAACTCTTTTTCCAAGAGGAGCGAGCCAAGGGTAAGCACAGAGGGGAGAATAAAGGGAGTATCAGCTTGTCAATGTTTGCAATGGAATTTAGCATCGAACCGTAAAACGCCAAGACACAGAGGAGACAACGCAGGTTTCGGTAGCAAAGAGCGGCGATGGGCGCTGGTTGCCAGTCCAGCTGCCAGCATTGAATAATGTACTAAGGATGCACGTTCGCGACGAGATTGAAGTTTATCACAGCGGAGTAAAATGTTTCCATTGTCGGTCAGTTTGGACCGTTGTGCGATAGATAATGATGCGCTCCTGAGTTGCCTGAGAGTCTGCTGTGCTTGGGCAGTACATGAAACGCAGTTCGCCGCGTTGAAGTCGGTTTTTGTGTCAAGCCGAGACGGAGGCTGTGTCGTGTGCGTGACGTGAAGCGACAGAATTGGGTGACCTCATTTAAAGCCGCGACAACGCCTGCATTCCTCTCTTCTCTCCTTCTTCACCACCGACCCAGGTCCCGCTTTGCCTCATTCTACACGCTCTGCTCGTCTCACCAAACCCACTACAGCTTTAAACTCACATTCCGACGCGATGTGTGGCATCTTTGGTTACTGCAACTACCTCAGGGAGAAGGTGCGCATTTACCATCTACTGCTCACACTGAGCGAGTTGGAGACGGGTCGCGACTAGTCTTGACGCACGTACCCTCCGGATTTCCGGGTTACGGCCATTAGACCCCTCGCTCTATCATTGTCCCTGACCTTTTCTCGCTTGCTAACACGTGTATTTGCAGCGCCGTGAAGAAGTCCTTGAAGTCCTTGTCGCAGGACTCGCCCGTGAAGAGTACCGCGGATATGATTCGGCTGGTCTCAGCGTTGATGGGGACAAACCTGGCGAGGTCATCTACTTCAAGGAAGTGGGCAAGGTTGCTGGCCTTCGCAAGAAGATCGCAGCCAGCTCGGTCGACATGAACAAGACATTCATCTCGCAGGTCTCCATCGCTCACACTCGATGGGCTACTCATGGTGCCCCTTCCGAGCGCAATTGCCATCCCGTCCGCTCTGATGACAAGAACGAGTTTTGCCTCGTTCACAACGGTATCGTCACCAACAACGCAGAACTTCGACTGGTCCTCCAGAAGCGTGGATTCGTATTCGAAACCGACACAGACACTGAAGCGGTCGCCAAGCTTACCAAGTACATTTGGGACTCGCAACCAGCCAATAAACGCCTCACCTTCACTGAACTCATCAAGGCCGTTCTCAAGGAACTCGAGGGATCATTTGCATTCGTCTTTAAATCGACGCATTTCCCGAACGAGATCGTTACTGCTCGTCGTGGTTCACCGCTTCTCATTGGTGTCAAGACCGATAAGAAATTAAAGGTCGACTTCGTAGATGTCGAGTTCGCTGGTCAGGAGAACGAGGGCAAGGTCGAAGCTAGTGCGTCAATCAACTATTAGAAACAACCGGAACTAACAGAGCCCTAGTCCCCACCTCCCCAGCTTCTCTTCTTGTGCCGCCAACGAGCTCCAAGGTCATGCGCACTCAATCGCGCGCCTTTATGTCTGAGGATGGCCTTCCCCAACCCATCGAGTTCTACATTGCTTCTGATGCTGCCGCCGTCGTCGAGCACACTAAGCGTGTTCTCTATCTCGAAGATGACGACATCGCTCACATTGCCGAAGGCGAACTCCACATCCACCGTCTCCGTCGTAAGGAAGATGGTGACCAAACCCCTGGTCAAATCGCCTCAACCCGTACCATCGAGACTCTGGAGCTCGAAATCGCTGCGCTTATGAAGGGCAAATTCGACACTTTCATGCAAAAGGAAATCTACGAGCAACCGGAATCTGTGGTTAACACGATGCGTGGCCGAGTCAACTTCGACTCCAACAAAATTACCCTGGGAGGGCTCAGGGCATATCTTCCTATCATGCGTCGTTGCCGTCGTATGGTTTTCATTGCATGTGGAACGAGTTATCACTCGTGCCTGGCAACACGGGCTATCTTTGAGGAGTTGACGGAAATTCCAGTGAGCGTTGAGCTTGCCAGCGACTTTTTGGACCGCAAAACACCCATTTTCCGTGATGATGTCTGCATCTTCCTCAGCCAAAGTGGTGAAACTGCTGATACGATCTTGGCTCTTCGCTATTCCCTTGAACGCGGCGCCCTCTGTGTTGGTGTCGTCAACACCGTCGGCTCGACCCTTTCGCGCGAGACCCATTGCGGGGTCCATATTAACGCCGGTCCTGAAGTAGGTGTTGCCTCAACAAAGGCATATACCTCGCAATACATTGCCCTTCTGCTTATGGCTCTTCAACTGTCCGAAGATCGCATTTCATTCTCCGAGCGTCGCAACCAAATCATCGAGGGTCTTCATGCACTTCCTGCGCAAATCAAGACAGTGCTTGAACAAGACGAGCAGCTCCAGCAACTTGCAACTACGATGGCGAACAACAAGAGTTTGTTGCTCATGGGACGTGGCTATCAGTTCGTCTATCTGCGACACACATAAAGCGTTTGCTAATCACCTTATAGACATGCGACATGCCTCGAAGGTGCCCTCAAGATCAAGGAAATCAGCTACATGCATTCTGAGGGTGGGTCATTTCGGCTGTTTCCAACACTTTTCTGAGTTTGTTCAGGTATTCTTGCTGGTGAACTTAAGCATGGCCCTCTCGCACTCGTCGACGAAAATATGCCTGTTATCATCATCATGACCCAGGACTCCTTATACCCCAAAGTCCAGTCTGCGTTTGCCCAGATCACTGCCCGCAAAGCACAACCCATCATTCTCTGCAACACGGGCGACGAGAGCATCTCAAAAGACGCCAAAACGATCCGGGTGCCCAAGACCATCGACTGTTTGCAGGGCTTGCTCAACATTATCCCCTTGCAGCTGTTGAGCTACCATTTGGCGGTGAAGAACGGCTGTGATGTCGACTTCCCGCGAAACTTGGCGAAGAGTGTCACTGTAGAGTAAAGGAAGGGAATGGGATGGACTTTTTTTGAGCAGCGTGGAAAAATTAGTGTACTTTACTTGCATTCTGTGTCGAGAATGCGCGGACTGGTTATCGCTGTTATAAGTAACGAACGTTTTGTGGTAGTGTAGTCGATACCGAAAGAGTTGATTTGTGAAAGAGTTGATTTGTGACATCGTGCGTGAACCGTTTTCTCCCTTGCTCCCAAGTGTTTTCTGCCAACACTGTTCAACAGTCGCTCAACACGGTAAAAATAACCATCTCCGAGGAAGAGGCAACATAATCGTGATCCCCTTCCCGCCCTGTGGACTGCGCTTCATGACAACTACACAAACAGGTGCCGCCGAGATATAAACACTGTTCGTTCCCAGCGTCCAGTTTCTATATTTTCTCCTGAATGCTTACTAGCATATTTCTGGCGACGAGTGTCGCTATCCTCTCCTTTTTAACGCCCCTCCAAGTTTACGCAGCAACCCTTCCCGACCTTTATGAGGCCACAATCGCCGACTTGCAAGCCGGACTCGATGCAAAGGCCTTCACGAGCGTAGACCTGGTCACTGTGAGTTTTCGTCAGCATCTTCTCCTGGCACTAAACTGTTGTCAAGGCCTACATTGCGCGAATAAAAGAGGTCAACAGCGAACTTCATGCTGTCATCGAGATCAGTCCCACTGCACTGGCGCTCGCAGCGGCGCTCGACTCCCAGCGGAGCCAGGGAAAGAAGATTGGCCCATTTCACGGAATTCCAATCCTTGTCAAGGACAACATTGCGACACGGTTCGAGGATGGAATGAATACCACCGCGGGATCATATGCCCTCCTCAACAGCGTTGTCCCAGGCGACTCGACTGTCGTTGCGAAGTTGCGCGCTGCTGGCGCCATTATTTTGGGCAAGACCAACATGTCAGAGTGGGCTGCTTTCGGACCGATGGCGCCGGCGGGCTGGTCGGGGCGCGGGGGGCTGACGACCAATGCGTATTATCCGAAGGGAAATGCATGTGGTAGTAGCAGCGGGTCTGGTGTTGCTGCGTCGATTGGACTGGCTGCTGCTACTCTTGGGACCGAAACTGCGGGGAGCATCACGTGTCCCGCGAGCGCGAATAATGTGGTTGGAGTCAAGGCCACCGTTGGGTTGACATCGCGGTCAGGCGTGGTCCCGATTTCGCAGCATCAGGATACAGTCGGTGCGGTTTTCTTGTGTTGATTTCTTCTCAAGTGAATGTTTTTGTAGGACCCCTTGCTCGCACCGTCACCGATGCTGCGCTTATCCTCAACGCCATTGCTGGAAAAGACTCGGCCGACAACTACACGTCCGCTCAGCCTTCCGCAGTGCCTGACTATACAAAAGCTTTGACCAAAGATGCTCTGAAAGGCGCGCGGATTGGTGTACCTCGTGCAGTATTTCTCGATCCAAAAACCGCACGTGAGTCGAGTATTCTTCAACTTCATACGTAGCTGAATGGTACATTCCCAGCACTTGTCGGACCCGACGAATTCAAGGCTGCACTGGAAACTATGAAAGGCCTTGGCGCGGTCATCACAGACCCTGCCAACGTTGCTTCTGCTGAAGACAGTCTTTTCCGCTCTGGAGCTGATGTAAATTTGCGTCTTTTCACAAAACATCAAACACTTACTTCCCTCCAGATAGTTCTCCACACAGATCTCCGGTTCGATATACAAGCCTACCTCGCCACTCTCAAAGAGATACCAACCAATGTACATAACATCCAGGACATCATGGCCTTCAACGACGCCCACAAGGATCTGGAAGAGCCGCGACTCGATGCCTACGTCGAATGGAACCTTCATTTCGAGATTGGCAAAAACCTGGAACGGGACAGCAACTACACCGCTGCCCTTGCAACCGATTTATCAATTGGCGTGACCAAAGGCATAGACGCCACGCTCAAAGAGCACAGCCTGGACGCCCTCGTTTTGCCGCTCTCCTCGACGATGTACGTGTTGGCGGGTATGGCTGGCTCCCCGATCGTCACCGTCCCCCTCGGTTTCCAGGCCAACACCACCAAACCAGCGGATGCAGGCGGCAAGGATGAGCCGCTGGAGACAGCGCCCAACATGCCATTTGGCCTGATGTTTGTGGGCGCTGCCTGGAGCGAGAGCAAGCTGCTTGCGTATGCATATGCTTACGAGCAGGCAACAAATACGCGGTTGAAGCAGCGCGCGTATGACAAGGCCACGCCAAAGACGCAACTGGTCGATGTGGTGGGGAAAAGTGTGGCTGGATCGCAGTCTGGCTCTGCCGGAAATCCTGGACCGACGCACAGTTGGGGACAGAGGCGGGCTAGACTGGACTGGGTTTTGTTTGCTGGGTTTACTAGTACTTTGATTTTCTCATTAACTTGAACCGCAATAATATACTACACTCAATTTCACTCAATATCTGAGTCTATCTGTGGAAACTGTAATTCAATGTGGACATGTACACTAGCTCACAGAGGTATGCAGGCTTCATTCATTATCTCTTCTTACGAATCCGAATCCCAAGAATGTAGCCCATTCGGGACTCAGGCTATCCCCATGCTGCTGGGCCTGTGAGTGCTTGAAAACGACCAAAGAATGTTCAACCCACAGGAATAAAGTCATGGCGGAGTGGGACCGAGTCAGCGGTCAAAAGGCACTGCAACTCTTCGACCATGTTTGCTGCGGACAGTGCGCCGTCCTTTTTCATTCGTTCTCAGGGTGACAATTGGAAGGCATAATTCTGTAGATATACTAAGTGTTTGGTGAAAGCTTCTGGTTCATGCAAGAGAACAAACTGAGTGGAGAATGTCGATCGTCGCTGCCAGACTTTGGATGTCTTTCGAAAACAAGCTAAGCCTGGTGTCGTTGTCCCACTGGGTGCAAAGCTTGTGGCAGAGGGCAAATACAAATGGAACGAAGTTCGTTGTTCGTGCCAGAAACTGATCGTCTCGGCCTCTGGCAGCCGGCATATTGTGGCATTATTTCCTGGCCAAATGCTAGGTTGTTTCATCGCACAATCTGCGTTGTCGTGGCATCCGGCATCATTGACCACATCGCAATCGTTCACTGCGGCCAGGCTCGGAACGACGGAGTTCGTGCGGCACGCCGGAGGCCCGGAGCTACCACTTCAAGTTATTGTACACGTGCATAGACACATCATGATTGTTCTACGCTCTGAATTCAACCCACCTACAAGACAAACCCATGGCGAAGTGCAACTGGGTTGCCTTCCAAGAGTTTCTCCACCTCTTTGACGACGCTCTTCGCAGATAATTCTTCATCGTGATCCATCATCCGATCAGTCAGTTTTGTGAGGAGCGGCAATGAATTTCTGTAATTCTGACATATATAGTCAGTGAGTAATCTGAGTTTTGGGTCAACGAAAGAGTGCAGACCGTGTGGAGGACATCAATCATGTGCCCCAATTGTCGGACATCCTGCAAAAACATGGCATTGGCTCCATCCCCAGGCATGACAATCTTGGCCGCACTGAAATCTGCGAGATAGCACAGTGGTTTGAGGCTAGAGCGCCCACGAGCATCGACTTTGATTGGCCTTGTAAACTCGGCGTTGCAGTCGTTTCTTATAAAGTGGAAGCCGTCAGGGACCAGCTTTGACCGATCCTCAACTAAGTTTCTAAGATGCACATTGCTTATTCATGTCAGTGAGAGGATGGGCAACTCTTGTGTCAAGACGTACCCTTGCGCGACACGATGGCGGTGCATGAATTCGAGTCCCTGGCAAAATAATCTCACCGTTAACTTCTTGAATCGATACACTTATCATTCATTACCTGTGTTATTTGAAGGACAGCATTCAAGAGCTCAGTCGATGTCGTGAAATATGGCTTGTCCTCGATGTGTCCACAGAACGGCATGACAAGGATATGACCACCGTCGTCGCAGGGAACGACATCGAGGAGCGGGATGATATGATTGACCTCTCCTTCATTGGTAACGTAGTGCAGATGCTTCAGTATTTCGATTTCCGTGTCGGTCGCAAATTTGAGAACAACTTGCTTTGGTAAATCAGCACGGCCAATGACCAACGCGTCGTTTGTGTCTCCAGGCTCATCCTATGAATCAAGAGACATATAAGCACAACAGGGAAGCTGGTCGTGCGTCAGTACGCACTTCCAACTCCATCGCATCTTCTGCGCTCGGATATTTGTCGGTTGTCCAAGTGGGTTTCCATTTGGGATGGTATCTTTTACGCAGTCGGAAACCCTTGCTGAGGAGTGATTCATAGGTGTCTCGCCACCGCACCTCTTCGGTGGTGAGGATTTTAGATGGACGGGGAACGACTGCCATCGCAGCTTCTACCTAAATATAGCCTTTGATGCACTCGTTACTTGCTCTCTCATGTCGACTCCCAGGGTGGCAGCCTTCATAGGTGCACGGAATGTCTAGGATTAGTTTATGCAGATAGCACATTTCTACGAAGCTGACTCGGGGAATCCCAAGATTTCGCAATACGCCGCAAATCCTCGCGGTTGACCCTCTGCCCAGCGTTCGTAACTGGTTGCACGACCAAAAGCGACTTCCGCCACAAGAATCTGGGTCTGGTGAGAATTTTCTTCAGAACAAGACGATAAACTCACCAAAATGTCCGCAGTAAGGCCTTTGATTGGCGATGCGATACTCCGAAAACGATGCATTCGATACAGCGCATCGTTGAGCAAAGGTACGGTCGAGACTGAGGTGTTCTAGGATTCCCGTTTAAAGCTCGTATGGATAACACGAGGAAAACTGACGTGGAATTCCGTGTCATATATCCAATCCTCTCCACCAGACTCGACGAGATTCTCCTTCGCAGCAAGATGTGGGTCCAGTATTGCTTCTAGCGGATGACTGAAAATAGCGGCAACCTCTTCTTCTGACGCCGTAAGTGTTGTTATCAACGCTGGCTCTGTCAAGAGCGCAATGACAGGAGTAACGACAAGTTTGTGGAGAGAGATGAAGGGGGCGGTCGATGCGAGAACATGGATATGAGGTGAACTGAGTGGGAGCGCGACTTCCTCATGAGCTTCGCGAAACTTGATCTCCTATGAGCCTTCAGGTAAACAGTTGTCAGTCGACCACATACCGCCGTTTGAACGAGGTCGACGTCGGTGTCGTCAGCTCTGCCACCAGGGAATGCCGTTTGGCCGGCATGAGTTCGCAGAGCTTTAGAACGTGTGGTTAAAAGCACCCGCAGTTGCCCGGACTCCTCATAGAGAAGAACCAAGACCGCTGCTAATCGTTTCCGAGGAAACGAAGAACTGAGGTCGGATAAGTATAAGCAGCTGGCTTGCGGCGGGGGGAGTGACTGACGAACAGATCGTGCGGCCGCCACTCGTGTGCTAGCAGACGTTCTATAGATGCGCGAGAGGTTGGGGAGAGCTTAGCGAGCTGTTCGGAGATGGGAGTTGTGGACATGATGTGAGTTGTCTCGTGACTTCAACCCCAGTGAAAAGTCGAGGGAATCTGAGGTGATCAAATGAGAAGAAATGTATCAGTCGTGATTTTCAGTAATAATTTGAGATGATCGATACTGCTGTCAGAATTTTCTTCAGTCTATCTCATATCTTCTCCCAAGTGTGAGGGCTGCATATTGGCTGCATCCCGAGAGCCGAATCAGCCAAATCCTGTGTGACTGCATCAAAATGCCAGTGACACTGGCACGACAGTTTTTCGTATCCTCCTCTCCACCACCATGCCGCTTTGGAAACAGCAAACCAACCTCTCCACCGACACATTGCCTTGGGCACAGCCCCTTGCTTTCTAGAAACCTCCACAGCTCTACACTCTCCAGTCCCGCTCCGCATTGCCAGCGCACCCTATGTGGCGACAACCTCATTCAAGCCAGCTCGCCTCCAGTTCTCCAGCTTGGGTATGTGGTCATCTGTGGCTGGTGCTGATACTAACACAACCAGAGCAACACCAGTGGATAGAGCAATGCCACAGCCGGAGGTCATGCTGTCTGTCGAGTCGCGCCTGGTGTGTTGCATTCATTTCTCCTCACTGTCCTCACATCTGATATGTGCATCGAAGCTTCGAACATCCATTGCTTACTCTCAACCTGACAACATGTATGTACCCCACTTCCATTAGACATTTCAAGCTAACATCTTTTAGTGATAATTTCTTGCAGGCCGGCCTATAGCACTGCCTTCCAGGGACCAGGGAGACTGTGACGACCGCCTGTCGTCACTGGCACCGTGACCAACTCTGTGCTGCGTACCTGATGGTGACGGAGATAGAGAGAGACCTGTGAGGGCTGCGACGACACACACACTTGCCATCATTCTTGCTTGTGTTTCAGTTGGGGGCCTGGGGCGGCAATGGGGCTGCCAAGTAGCAGTGGCTTTTCTTACTTTTGTAGTCTACTATGTATTATGCTAGTCAGTGTTATCCAATCCATCCCATTTTGTCAACCCAAATAGCCTCTTTCCATCCCAATTTGTTACGCTTGCCTTGACATGAGTGACGTTCCATTTGATGTGATGCTCATCTCATCTCAAAACTCAGCAAAAATTAACGGCAAATTTGGCACAATAGTGAAGGTGCGAGTTTATATGAGCAACTGTCTATCTCTCTCACATAATCTCTAAGGATTCCTCCTAATCTCACCGACTTCTCACTGGGCTTCAACTCCCTTGTTCAACAACTCCAAACTGGTCCATCCTCTACGACTGATTCCACTGGTATCAAGGAACTGTGACTCTGTGCGCCTGATCATGAAGCATACGAACTTTGATGTTGCAACTCGAACCTGCATTTGCTCTAACTGCAGTCGGGGGTAATTATGGCGTTAGTTGACGCGCAACTTCGTTTTTGTATTCAGTTTTGATTGACGGTGCTTGCAGGGGCTAGCTTGGGGCCAGCTCGGGGAATGGTGGGAGCATCCACCGGCCCTTCCATACGCCCATGAGAATGCTTACAGGCAGACTGACGCTCGCCATTTCCCCCTCCCGAATCAGAGGCTCCTGCCGGATGGGTGTAACCCACGCAAACCAGCCTAGCGTCGTGATATACCCGACATAGCGGCACGCCGGACTGCTGCAGCCCATTCGTTGGCTATTTCTCGGCTCCGTAAGACGGTAAGACGAGCGGTATCGCTTGTATGAACGACACGGCGTTGGCAAAGCCACGCTATGACCATGTCCTTTCTCGGGTGGAAGAGTCTAAGAGAGGCGAGTGTTGTCAACACTCTCTCCATTGAAAACCCTGGTCCAGGCTTCAACAATGGAACGCGGCGTCGAGTTCGTCATGGTCGGGATGCTCACTGATATCCCACTACGCTGAGGTGGACGCACTACGTGGTGATAGAGAGTGAGAATCTGGTGTGGATGCATTTCTCGCGCGGGGCAAAGGAGTGGGAGGCGATGCGCCAAATGGGGAGGGTAATTTTCTTGTGACAATTTCACTATGCAAACTGCTACTCTCCGTATCCATGTGAATCCCTTCGAACAGAGCAGGGTAAATTACGAGTTTACGATGTTGTGGTCCTTTCAAAGTTTGCGTGACATATGTGACCAGGATTTGAGAGAACGTCGAGGATGCAAGCTCTCGAGGACTGTGAGCGACGAAGGGCGGATGAACGCCAGGAACTCTTGGACGCCTTACCCGTAGGTAAATGTCATCGCCTGAATCAAAGGTCTCATCACACCTGTTTCAGTCGCGACCCTCGCCAAGGAACAATTTAGACGCACTCACTGTTGACCAGTCCCAGCTTTTGAAACTCGACCCAGATGACATCTATCCGCGCACGCTTCCAACTCTTGCAACCACAGAACTCTACGGCAGCATGACCACTACCGAGATCGATGATGAAAGAAAACACGACGAAGAATACTGTCGCAAACACTTCGATAACCATGTCACTTCATCTAGTCTTCCTGTGATTTTGGAGAAACTAGGTGGGACTGCGTTCCTAAACAAATTTAATGCTCTCAAGGACAGGGCTTGGAGAACACTGCAAGATCTGGGGCCTCAGCTCGAAGAAGACCTTAGAAAGCGCATCTTAGAAGGGTTTGCAGCTGAATCCAATTCTTCAGGAACCCAACCACTGGAGATTTATATAAACAATTGTTACTGGTTATCCGCTCTGGCAAGAGTATGCTTGTCTCGTCTTGGGTTCAGAACTCCGCTAATAGTATACAGATTGCCCTTCCGGAATCTTTCCGGTGCCAGTCAGAAGTATTGGAGTTCGTACCAGGTCTGGGGGACCACTTTCCACCGCAATGGGGCCACTACGAGAAAAGGCGCAAATATGGTGCAGCACTTTGTCCTACCGCCGTCAACTCCATGATATCCAATGTCCTCGTGAACGTCGAATACACACCAACCAATGCCCCATCCTACACACACAACCCTCTGATTGGCACTTCAGTTGAGATAGCCAAATATCAACAGGCAATCACCAATGCCGCGGATTTGTTGTCGAGGCAAGGCAATCGGCTCTACATCCCTACCCTGTCATTCCATGGTAAAGGCGATGAAGCAAAGCTATTTGTCTCTATCCTGAACCAGGATTGTCTTGAGTTCACAGTCATTGAAGGCTGTCTTGAGACCAATCTCCCCACGGTTTCTGCCCTTTTAGCTCTCTTTCAACAGGCGTCACTGTATGAACTTGGTTTTAATCCTCTTTTTCCTTCCAAGTTTATGAAAGCCGACTTGGGTATTTTGAATGATGTTTCCATGCCTGATGTTGCACATCTTCCTGACTGCGATTTGATTGAGCTAACAGGCACACCTCTATCCCCTCTGCGCAGTGCACCAAAGGCCCAGCAAAGAAGTATTACAAGTGAAATCTCCATGCTTTCACCTCTGATACCTCAGCATGTAGAAGCAATGGTTTTTAAGTTGCCTTCCAAAACTTACAAGCTTAATAATGAATCTCTGTCTGTGACTGACCTAATCAAGACTGCCATCCAAATCTTCTTGGCTCTATTTGATATATTCAATCATCATATAATCTACTGGGATATATCCATTGACAATATACTGGTCACTGCCAATAGATTATTATTGATCAATTGGGAGACTTCTCATATATCCAAGTCAAATTCACAGCTACCAGATAAGCCTGTTAAGAATCAGGAAATGACAGGTACACTTGATACCATGGCATATTACATGCTTGAAGGAAAGCATATGCCTCTTCCACATGATGGCCTTGAATCAGTTGTATATGTTCTTCTAAAAGCTTTGACCCAGACATTTAAGAATCCACTTAGAGATTCCTTGTGGAAGCAAAAATTTGCAAGGTTTAAATGGTATAATAGTGATATTGGGACTGATGACTTGAAGCTTGTGCGGGATAGTTTGTGGAGTCAGAAAGGAAAGCGTGGCATTATGTATGATATAAAACAAACATTGCAAGAAGCAGATGAACATTGTACGGTGCAGTTCATTGAAGTCCTCCTCTCTATGCCATTGCCTATAGAACGATGGTCTTCTGGAACAAAACCAAGTGGACTATATTGGGCTAAATGCAACCAACTATGATGAAGTTCACAAATCACTAGACACAATTGTCAAAGATGTGGTCAAGAAATTGTGTGCACTTCTGGCCCAGACTAAGTTCACTAAGGCCTAAGGCCTTCTCATATATTAAAGGTGTTTATTAAGGCCTTTGGTCCAGAAGGATGCAACTATCTATTGGGAAGGATTAGTTAAGAAGGGCCTGTGGGTTTGAGAAATTACTATAATTATAACTTTCAGTTGACTCTTCAATCAATGAATAATGGTGAGCAAATACAAATATCTATAGTAGGGGTACACTCCTATACTTCAGTTTTGTTATTAATGTTTCTTGCCTCACTCTCTCTACTCACATTTGAATCTCTTGCATTCTGAGTTTGACTACCTTGGACTTTCCAAATGTATCCTTGGGATTTCATATATTTGTTCAGACTTGTATTTGGCCTGCAAGATGTGTAGTTGCTCACTCTAATATAGTATTGTGATAGCCACTCAGTTTTCCTTCAGACTTTCTGTTACTTCCCTTCGGTCTTTGCATGATACTTAACATGTATAATGGATTGAAACAGCCACTGATTATTTCCAAACTCTTACAGTGTAGATTTTGGAATTAACTTTGTGAAAAAAAATATAATACTTCTATTGCAGATTGAAAACTAATAATACCACTGTATATATTGATATATAGGATGCTTTCAGATATTATCTAAGTTCTTCATAAAGTAATGGCTTTTTTATCAGGTTTTGTAAGGGCAATCCCGGAGGCCTGAGATCAAGGTCCTAGCAGGGGAGGATCCAAAGAGAAGAAACCCTAAGGATGAAACGCTTGGAAAGTGAACATACACAGACACTAAAAGAGAAACACAAAACCACATAAAAAACCCAACTCCAACAAAAACACAAACAAACAAACACACACAACACAACACACAACCTATTCTGGACCTAAATCACCTATGCCGAAGCTTCGGATCACGTCGGATCAATCGGATCACGTCGGAGTTTGATTTGGGGTAGTTTGGTTTTCACAAGCGCGCAAGTTCGGGGTTCCTACTAAAGTATATAGCAGTTGCAATTCAGACAACAATTTCGAGTCGATTATGTAATTGGGTGCAATGCAGGCGATTAGGTAATCTTGAACTTTGGGGCACAGGGTTGAACACGATCACAAGACTTGAAGCGGAACGGAGGGAACGACGGCGGAGACAGACTTTACAGACAAGACGGCGATAACGGAGACAATCGTAGGCAACAGCAATAACGGACACAATGTAATGGAACCAAAACACAACCTCGCGAGGGCCCGGGGCAAGCCAAACTTCACTACTCTATAGCTACAATACATGCCCAATTTATACTGCTAGTTGCCCAGCATTTGTAAGCCTCCCAGACCATCGGGGGTGGTCCCGACAATCGGGCACCTCCTTAATTTATCCCTTGATCCTCCTTGGTACGCTCCCCAAGACGCGACCCCATGATCGGCCCCTGCACTTGGCCTGCGGAGTTTTATACCCTAGAATGGAGCCCCTTGACACGTCTACTTGACGCTGTCAGGGGAACCTCCCTTTCGGCCCCTCGGAGACGATCCCGATTCCGGTCCGACTCCGGTTCCGACTCCGGTGATCGCATCACCGCCTCCGTCAGGCGCATCGCCGCCCCCGCCTGGCGATCCCCCTG